GGCTCACAGGTGGTCGTGTCACTGAGGGCATTAACTGCTGCCCCTGGACTCAGACTTACAGTAACAGACCGATGGTATGATGTTCTCAACCCGACGCAACGACGCGGCGACTCTGCTGTAAACTGTGGTTTTGGAAACTTCATGGTCAGGATTTTGATCAGGCTCGTGATTGTTTGTAGAAAAATATATTAGGTATCAGAGCTGGACGGACTTTAACTGACTGTGTTTCTGTCCAATGCTCTGAGTGTTCTTTGATTGTTGTGTTTTTTGGCTGTTTTGGCTTTTTTTTTCTCACAGTAAGAGTTAATGATTTGGCTAACATTTGGCCATTAAGTTGTTTTAGCTCTTTTTCTGTTTGGATGACCTTTAGTTATTCTTGGGTTTACGTGACATTGACTTTTGGAATTTTTTTTTTACTACTTTCTTTTATTTCTCTGGAAAAAATTAATAATTTAGCTACATGCATTTTATGATTGATTTCTTAGTAGTAGTAGTAGTATAGCATATATACTATACTATATATATGTTTATATATATATATATGTTTATATATATACATATATAACAGTAGCAAAATGATTAATTTAGATTCTTTAAATTGATTTGACCTGATTTTACATTAACTCTTAACAACTGCGACTAATGGCATATAGTTAATATGTATTGTTTAACTAGTCCATAATATTATGTTAGGGGAAGGTTAAGGACTATTACCCATGAGCCTTTGCTGTTGTCTGACCTCTGATCACCAAACCAGCCGTGCTCAGAGTTGTTGCTGTGACTGCGACAAACACTGAAGTTTGATATCTTCATCCTCGTGTCCAAACACGTGGGTCTGGGACCCTGTGGTGTAAATCACCAAACTTCACCAAAGACGTGTCTCCGTCCGACTCACAGGAGAACATGGCCGTAAGTTTTCAAACAAACGGCCTAAAAATCCAAACAACCCTTGGCAGACTCTGTTGTCAGTTGTGTAGCCTTGACCAAATACTCAGCTGTTTTCCAGCCGCTTACAAAACCAAGAGCCAGGCTGTCGGAATGGGATTTAGTAGCCACATGTCACAGAGAGTCTTCTTGGCAGAGTGAGGACATATTTTGTGATCGCACTCATATTTTATGTAAAAATTCCACCTGTTCGAGAGGACACATTTTTTCCATTTTCTACACTTGAAGTTGTCAGAATTGAAAACTTATTTTCCTTTTCTCTCTCTCTTTTTTTTTGTGCCTTTTTGTGTCTGTTGTGAAGTGTAACCTACTTTTTCATCCGGATTTTTGTTCTTTTTACATAAACGGCATAAAAAATATTTCCGTTACTCATTTTAATTGGTGTGCAGCAGGTTAGGGTGATAAAGGATAGAGCTGTAGAAGTCAGTCATGAGGAGGTGGTGAAAGGAGAATGAGTGTACTGCGTGATATCGCCCACCCCCCATGGTTTTCAGTGGTACTGCTCCACACGGAATGAACTGATGAAATGGTCCGTGTACAACAGAGTTTCCTGATCCGGACCGTGTTTCTTAGTCATGTCAAGACAAGTAACTGTAATCTTTTTGGAGTTTTTTTTTGTTGTTTGTTGTTTTGTTGTTTTTTTCCACCCGTTTGCTTGGGTCCAGTGTTGGAACACGGTTGGTGGAAGGAGAATGAGTGTACTGCGTGATATTGCCCACCCCCCATGGTTTTCAGCGGTACTGCTCCACACGCAATGAACTGATGAAATGGTCCGTGTACAACAGAGTTTCCTGATCCGGACCGTGTTTCTTAGTCATGTCAAGACAAGTAACTGTAATCTTTTTGGAGTTTTTTTTTGTTGTTTGTTGTTTTGTTGTTTTTTTCCACCCGTTTGCTTGGGTCCAGTGTTGGAACACGGTTCCACCTGGTACCGGTTACTCTGGGGCTTTGAGGTGGGTTTAAAGTTTAATGCAGTTCATTTGGAGGAAAACAGATGCAGAAATGGGAAACAGTTGCTCCCAGACAAACACGTCCTGGTCAGTCACTGTTAGAAGCAGAACGTGTTATCACTTAAACGTGTCACGAGCGCTCTGTGAAGATGTTGCTGCGTCAAATCACAGAGAAACCTGGTTGATGGTACAGTGAAAATAAACAGAAATGAAGAACATGTAGTATATATATTTGTTTTTGTTTGTTTTAGAGCGAATACTGTACATAAGAAATACAAATATATCTCATGTCCTGCAGAGGGCGTTTGAATGCACCGGTCCAGTATAATATTATCGCGTTATCCCAGTTGTTCCTGACCATGTGATCGCAGCCGTCAGTCACGATGCACCAGCTCAGATATTTTAATATGGTATATTTTATTTCAACTTCAGGTCTAAACATTTTTACAGCAAATCTGAATATAATTTAAAATTTTAAAGTGTAGCGTTTGTCCTTCAGCTTCTTTTTTAGAGTTGCTTCTGTTTTACTGTACAGCGTAGGTGTGACCTGGTGGAGCTGTGTGTGTGTGTGTGTGTGTTGGGCAGGTCCATTTCCTCACCAACCAGACAGACATAACAGTTTTTTCCACCAAGTTTGAGGAAAAAAGAACATCAGGTGAAAAAACAGGGGCAGACGGAGCAGGAAGGAGGTGAAGCAGGAGAAACTCAGTGGCTGGAGGAATATTCCAGGAGGGACATGGACTCCCATGTTTTGTGCTGATAGTCAAACATTTGAATCCCCCTCATTTTCAGGCCACAGAATTCTCCCCCAACACAACCCACTGCCTCCCCAAAAATAAGACCAAAGAGGAATTCTGTTTTCCCACAGATATTCCGCAGATGATGATTCATGACACAGTGGGATGTTTTATGTGTTGTTTTTTTGTGTTACCACTGCCACTAATATGCCTCCAACATTTTTACTGTTTCAGCCAGTGCTGCTGTCTTTACTCTGAAGCTGTGATTTCTACATCCTCCAACTATTGTTTTTACTTGTCAATCATTTCTTTTATTGGCAAAAAATGCAATTGTTACAGGGGAAATATATACCATAAATGAAAACATCTAAAATATATCATAAATATATAAAAATATATATAATAAATACGTTGGAATATATAATAAATACATGTTTGCCCTGAGTAGACATGCTTAAAACAATGCCAAAAGGTAAAAAAAAACTTTATCTCAGGAAATAGTAACTTATAACTAAAATGTAAATAACCTTTTAAAAAAGGATCAACAAAAGCTAAAAGTTGCTAAAAGTTCTCAAAACTAAAACAAACAAACATAAAAAAAATCAATAAATAGTTTAAAAAAAGTAAAGCAACACAAAAATATAGCTAAGGGTTAGCAAAGAAAAAGCTAAAACTAAAAAACAAGGTCCTGTTCTGTGTCCAGCTGGTAGCAGTTAGCTAACTGTTTGTGCTGCTCTTAGCTTCACGTTGGTCATTCATTCCTGAGGGAAATATATGATTCATCTTGTTTACCATGCAGTGGTTAATGTTCTCCACCTGCTGCGTGTTGTGGAGAAGATGAACCGAGTTCATATAAAGTGAAAAACATCCGAGACGTTTCCAGCTGCTGCACAAAACAAGGTCGTGGGGTTCGATGTCTCAAAGTTTAAATCACTGGAAGGAAAATGTATTTACAGAAACACAGTGAGGCTCCGTAGCCCACTATAGATAAATATTGACTGTAAGAATTGCATTAATAGAAAACACAAAAATAGCCAATATTTCATTGAGAATAATACAAATTTGAACCAAAATTTAAAAAAAACCCTAGGCAAAAATGCTTAAAGTTGACCAGATGCTGACACATGATTCAAATTTCATCAAATTATAGCTGACTGTTAGTTTAATAACCATTTGATAACCTCTAGTAACCATTAGTTAATGTTTACTGAATCCTGCTGATTTTTTTTTCTTCATTTGTTTTTATTCTTTGGTACATTTTATTCTAATTAAATAACCATTGATTTGTTGCTTCTTCTTCTTCTATTGTGAAACTCTTGATCTAATTTCTTCTCTTCAGGTAATTTAATCAAGGTTTTTCACTTGTTGACCCTTTTTTTTGTCACCGCTCCCTGTTTGCTTCCACCTCCTCTCTCTCTCCCTCTCTCCTCCATCATTATGTCACCCTTGGCCGCCCGTCAGCGACCTGTCCATACAAACCTGAGCTCAGCTCGTCCAACACTGACTCACACAAACACTGGGTCGTTGTGTCACTCCGCTGGAGCTGCATCCTACTCATGTTGTTTTTAGAAGTTCATCCTGTGGTTCATCTCCTTTTTTTTTCTGTCTGCACAGCCAGACGTCGACTACGTGTTGAGCTGATTATGTGGTCGTCCGCAGCAGACATATTTGGTTTTATGAATGTAGCACTTTTGGCTCCAGTGAAGCAAATAAATGCTGTCGAGAAATAAAACTGTGTTTCTGAACAACTGGAAACGACTGGAGACAAGTGAATTGACCGTGACAGCTCCGGTTCTTGTCCAAAAAAACAGAGGAAAACAAGTTGTCTGTGTTGCATCTGACAGTTGTTCAAATTTTCAAAAGTTGTGGCTGTTTTTTGGCCCATTTTTATCTTGTTGTTAAGTCATTTCTCTGCTCTTTTTTTCTCCAGCTCTTCTCCTCAGCAGCTTGACGTTGACTATTGTTGTTCTTTCTCTGTCATGTCCGGTTGTGTTGGATCTTTTGTAATTAATTACTGTCCAACTCTATTTTTTTTAAATGTTTTTTTTTTTAGCAAAATATTTTCCCCTATTTTGAGGATGTTTTTGACCAAATACAATACCAATTTTTTTTGCCAAGCTTTTTGGCTTATATTAATATATTATTTATATATTATTTAACATTAATAAACCAAACCCCCCCCAATTTATAACTAACATTCAGACCTCGTCTTTTTCCCACGTGTCTTCTGTGTTCTGGTTGATGTTTGTTCAGGTGCCGCTTGTCTTTGTGTGTGTTTTTTCCCGGCTACAACTGTTGCTGTTCTTCTTCTTCTTCTTCTTCTTCCTCACTGAAAGGACAGTGTCAGATTTGGAGCAGTCCACCATTTTTCAGCTGGTGACATAACGTCAGTAAACAGCAGCTTGGAGTTCTGTTCCCCCTGAACACAGATTCCTTCAGAACACATCTGTCTGCAGCCGCTCAACATATTTTCCACATGTGAGCCGTGGCTGCACCGATCAGACCAGCGCAGAGTAGAAGTGAGTCTTCAGTCTGTCCTCAGACCTGACAGCTCAGTCACACAGCGTTAGACTGAGGGTCAGCGCCTCAGACACTGATTAACATCAGCGTCTAAATGCTATTTCTTCACATCAAACTACACGCTCACAGCGCCCTCAGGGGTGGAGCCGGGGCAACAACTTTGTTTTTTTTTTTTTACGCCTAATGACGCATCTTATAACGGTCATTAAAATCCCTCTGTTTATCATGTTCTGTTGTGTTGACACGAGGCGTTGTCTGTGTATGACGACAAACCTCTTTGGACACACATTAAACACCAACTCCCACCAGAAGCGTCGCACAAGACCGTCCATCGCTCTCACGCTGTGAACATCCCGGCTCAGAGAAAACACTTGACAGGAACAGAAAACATGACTTTTCTTCACCCTCGAACATAAACACACAATGAACGTGAGGTCAGGAGTAAGAGGATGTGTAAAAAAACGAAATATGTGAGACGTGTGTTTGTTTTGTTTTTAATGAAAAATTGTTCTTAAATACAGTATTTCCTTCTAAATTCCTGCTCTCTGCTCTTCTTCCCTTGTGTTTTCACAGATAACTATGGTGGATACGAAAACCAGCTTTTCAAAGGTAAAGATAAAGAACAGTCTACTGACCACTGATGACCTGCAGTCCATACAGGTCGTCTTTCCAAACCAACAGTATTTCATGTGTCCAGACCAAATATCCAAACTTTGACAGTCATCGCTGTTGCATTTGTTCACTCAGGAGGACTGTTTGGTTAGCTGGCAACCAGCAAGATAAAAAAATGGTGTTTGATTCAGTAGCTGCTGATTAAATGGACGATGAAGGGAGGTTAGCAGCACGTATTATTTTAGTTAATCTCCCAAAGAAAACTCCCAAAGTGTTTAATAAAGTTCCATCCATCCATCTATTAGTTTTTTTATATCTTAAATACTTAGTAATTTATTTCTACTATTGAATCTGAATCTTATGTTCCTTTAAACACATTTGGAATAACCAACCTGTGTCTGTTTCTGTCTTTTTTTTATTTCTCAGAGGAGGATTTCACTGGAGAGGAAGAGGAAATGCCTTCATTTAGAGGTGAAGGACACGAACACTTACACCGAGGAATAATTAGAAGTTGACTTGTATGTAATGTGTACAGATATATCTATGGTTTGTGCAGAACTTCTCTGAGGGATCGGCCGAGTTCGTGTGATCTTTGTTCTTTTCTTTTGTTTACTGCGTTGTCTGCCATCGGGTTCAAAAATGGTCAACGAAGAGACACAAACTTTTACAGGAACTATGTTTGTTTGTTTGCGTGGGTCGGAAATGCAGCAAGTTTGTTTAATTCAAACCAGGAGGGCAATTTCACCATGACTGTTTGTTTCAGAGCTGCACGACATTTTCACAGCTCCGCTCGACTCTTCTCCCCTTGGATTTGTTTGCAGTGACTCTGCCAGGATTCATGATTTAATTCTGAGATGTTATTGTTAACAGTGAGGAGAGTTGTGAAAACACATGACACAAAACATGGAAATACGTTTTTATTTTCTGTTGTTTTCTGAGGTTAATTATCCGTACGCGTGCGGCGCTGTAGATTAAACAAACTACAAATTAAATATGTACAACAGTGACCAGAGAGGGCGCTAAAACTACAAAAAGCACAGAATTTAAATACTTCCTACACTTTTATTTCTCAAGTTTCTCAGACAAAACTGAACAGTAACGTGTACTTCCTCTTTTCCAGTTTTCGTGAACTAATCCACTCATTTATGACTGCTGTGTTTCCAGCTCGCAGCAGAGGAGGTTGTGTGCGGTGTCAGCAGAGCCATTCGCTGCAGCTGGCTGTGAAAGTCCTCTATGGATTTGTGGCGTTCCTCATCATTACGGTGGCAGTACTCGCATCACTGGGTGAGTTCACTGGGATGGAATGATAATCACCTCCGTCATCCCGCCAGAAAAGTTGCGTTGAGTGTGAATGTGTCAGAGTTGACAGACTGCAGATTTGATCATCCATTTTCTACATTTCTACATTCACACCTAGTCCAGGGCGTCCCATCACTTCATTCTTAGTCACTGTTAGTTTTATATGGTTCAATAGTGTAGTGGTGGTTACCATGGAGAGTCCTGGGTTCAATTCCTGAAGGAACCCCATATTCTTCATGACCCCCCCCCACCCCCCGTTGTAAGTCGCTTTGGATAAAGGCGTCTGCGAAACGCATTAAAATGTAAATGTTTTGAACATTTGCTGCATCATCGCCGACATCATCTGCTGATGCAGCAAAAACCAGGTGGAAGTGTTTATTTTCTGTGGACCTGTATCCAACCCCCCCACCCCACCCACCACCCCCTCTGTCAGGGACCAGGGTGTTAGAGAAAATATGTGTGAACACACTTTTAACTGTGTAAAATCTCACACCCGCTAAACTGTTATTGTTCTCATGGGAAATATGTCACGGACCCCGGGACCAGAGCAGCTGGATAAACCAGGATTTATCAGCGTTCTCTGCCACATGTGAAAACCTCGTGGAGGGGATTTTTTTCTTTTTCTTTTCTTTTTTTAGTGGAGGCTCAAAATGTAATTTCCTGTTTTTAGTCTTTTAAATTCTTCCCTCTTCCTGTTGACACCAGGGAGACCTGAGGTTGAATCACTTCTGCAGTTTGACATCATTTCGGAAGTCGTTATCTGCATAACAGTGGGTGTGAAGTAGAGTGCCTTTAGTGATAGGTCAGCGGTTTGAGTCCAGTTTTTGCTAGTCTAGTTTTAGCCAGGCATTAATTAAACCGACAGTTTCTTCTTCTGTTTTTGCAGTGTTCAGGAAGGTGGAGAGAATGTCGGCAGAAGAGTCCGTCTACCACACCAAGATCTCCACCGTGCAGCAGGGAATAGATGGTGAAACTCAGATTCACGTGTTAAATGGCGTGACGTATTCACTAAAGCCACGTCTCACCTTCACCCGTTTGTCCCGTCTTCCCCTCTGTCCTCTCATTCTGTTCTTCTCAGACCTGAGCTCCACCACCAACTGCTCCAGCTGCCTCGACGTGACTCTGTACAGTGAGGAGATCAGACGGCTGAAGAGAGAGTTCGAAGACCTCCAGAGGATGATACTGGGACAGGAGCAGGTCCGCTGCATCAGGTCGTCCTCCTGTTTGGTCCTTCGTTCAACTCATTCTCTAACTGAGTCTGGTCCCTGTTCAGGTTCTGGACCAGGCCACTCAGGACCAGGCCACTCTGAGGGCCACCAACACCAGGGTGATGCGTGAAGTTCAAAACCACCTAACCTCCATCAGATTTCTAAACCAGTCCCTGGAAAGGTACCTGGATCGTGTGGAGGCCTGGAAGGACGTGGTCACTGAGACGGAGGAGAAGATGAAGACCCTGACAGAGGACCAGTACGACATCAAGGCAACGGCACATCAAATCAACACCACAGTGGCTCTGAGGTGAGAAAAACAAAAGACGAAAGCACGCTCCAGTGGAACACGAAGCTGGTGGACATTTAGTGAACTCTGAACCTGGTGTGTTCCTCTAGCACGCTGTGGATCGACGCCCTCCAGAGAAAGGCCGACGAAGAGACCCTGGTTCTTCACAGGTTGACCAACGACTGGCAGAACTACAGCCGGGTTCTGAGTGCGTTAAAATCCAACTCCAGCAACATTATGCAGACCGTGCATTCCCTCCAAAACAACGTCATAAACGACCACCAGAGGATCGCCATGTCCTTGGAGGTGTACTACGATCTGACTCAGCAGGTGTGTGTGCAGATGATCCTCCCCTGCATTCACTGCTGAAGGTCCGGTTCTTGGTCTGAGCCGATACTGTTGTAGATTTCCACCTGGTCTCTTTCTGATTTTCAAAAGAAAAGTTTGAAATGTAATGAAGGAAAAACAATCCTCCTAACTGTACACAGTACCTGATGTACTGACTGAGTACATCATGTTCTGTTCATAGTTTTTATGTACTTCATTTTTACTGCGCTTGTGTGTTTTCTGCAGGTGATGAATCTGCAGATGCAACTCGACAACGTGACATCCTACATGGATGAACATGAGGAGAACATGCACGACCTGCACTACCATTCCAGGTAACGAACCTAAGTTTGCATGTTTGTACTTACAGATAATAAAAAAAAAATCTATAGTCTTAATCTGGACATTTACCAAAAGCAATAAAATCATTGGTTGTCCATATGGAGACCAGATGCTTCTTCTTCTGTAGGATGTGAGTCTTGACGTAGGAATGAACATCCTGCTGATAAACGTGTCACACACAGTCACGCTGTGATAAATCTCAAACATCTTCCCAAGGTACTACGAGAACCGCACAGGTGAACGCTTCTCCGCTTTGGACGGTCGTCTGAACTCCATCAACATGGAGATCGACACCGTCTCCTCCAGCATCAATGCCACGGTCAGCCATGTTCAGAGCATGTACAAGTACATCAACATAGAGAGCTCGTCCTGCCAGAGTCGCCTGGGCCGACACACCGAGGACCTGCAGGTTTGGAACACCGACAGTTTTGGTTGACTTGACCTTTAACCCTGATTTGTTCTTTTTCTAAAATCTACATCAGTCATTTAATGTCTTGTACTCAAGTTTTACATTTTCACTCACTGAAGAAGTATTTCTGCTCAGACTGGGCACTAACTTTAAGTCAGTGTTCTTGGTAAATATTTGGCGTACATTTGAATATAAAAATTTGTGCCTGACATTCAACCCATTTGCTGGTAAAAAAAAAGATGTAGTAATCTTAAGTTCTTAAGTCGTAAAATTGAATTTTATTGCCTTCTGACATGATGAAATCCAGCCTCTCTTACGAACACATTGGACCCATTAGACCCACCCTGTAAAAGAAGGGGTTCAATTACCTCCGCACGCTGACTGGTACTCCCCTTATTTACCCCCGTGTACCTTGTGATCCCACCAAACGCTCTTCAGATTCTGAACAACACAGTGTTGTTACTGCTCCACCTGGCCGACACGCTCAGGCAGCAGAACATGTTGTTGAACGTCCGACTGGACGTGGACGTCAGGAACCTGTCCGTGGTGATGGAGGAGATGAAGCTGGTGGACGTTCATCACACACAGCTCATTAAAAACTTTACTATTCTAAAAGGTATGAGACGTCGTCATCGGAGGTAAACACCGGATCGTGTCTCTGCCTGTGTTTTAAATATCATCACGTGTCGCCCACAGGGGCTCCGGGACCACCGGGACCCAAAGGAAACCGTGGTGAATCTGGTTCAAAAGGTCCTGTTGGAATCACTGGCAGCAAAGGAGACAGCGGACCCAGTGGGGGCCGCGGAGCCGCCGGAGAGAAGGGGGCTCAGGGGCCAAATGGTGCCCGGGGTGAACAGGGTCCCAGTGGCAGCAGAGGACCAGTAGGAGCCAAAGGGGCCAAAGGTTCTCTGGGAATACCTGGACCACGAGGAGAAAAGGGCCAGAAAGGTGACATGGGTCCTTCTGGAAAGGATGGGCCTCCAGGACCTTCAGGGCCTCTGGGCATCCAGGGTCAGTCAGGGCTCCCGGGTGTCACTGGGCCAACAGGACCAAGGGGGAAACCAGGGCCGGTTGGGCCACCGGGACCTCCAGGAACTCCTGGACCTCCAGGGCACCCTTACCCACATAATCCCAGCCTCAACAGTCCGGAGCGGACGGATGATCCTGCAGCTGGGTCTAAAAGGCATTAATGAAGTTCAACCACAAACGACAAGAAACCAACGGAAGCCTGGGAAAAAAAAGACAGAGAACTGAGCTGCTGCTACAGGCTGACCTGCTGGGGGGTGGGGGGTGGAGTGGGGGGGGTCAGCAACTGACCGTCCAAACTGAACCATGTGTGGTCAGGACTATGACCTGTATTTGACCCAGTCCCAAACACACCATCATTTTAGAAACAGAAAATGCGATCACTACAAATTTTCGTCGTTTACGAACCACACATTTGGACTAAACTGGTGATATATATATATACATTTATATATATATAAATGTGTATTTATATATATATATATGTATATGTATATATGTGTATATACATATACATATATATATGCTATTATTTGGGCACGAAAAATATCTAAATATGTTCTGTTGTTTATACGATATATTCTGTTTATGTTACTGTGACTCAACCATTCTCTGGTAGAAAGCACCTTATTGGTTCCTTAAACTAAACGTCATCTCGTTTCAGTGGGTCAGAGCAGGTACTCTGAGGACTGGTTACTGGGGGTATTGAAGTTGTGGGGGGGGGGTCTTTGGGGGCTCTACACTGAACTGGCCCAACCCTTCTGTACCACTCAGTCTTCATCGCTGACCATTTTAAATGACAGAGCAGGATTTTCCTCAAACTTTTAAAAGTGGAATTTAAAGTTCATTCCACAATATTCTAAATGTTTTTTAACCTTAACACTGCCCTCTACCTTTTTGTATTTTTGTTTTTGTTTCAGGGCAGAAAAACTAACCCAGTAGGTGGGAAAGAAGGGGAGGTAACTGGAGTTAGCAGGATGTGTTAGCTTAGCTGAATCTCAGAGTGAACCGACTTCTGTAAGTAGAACGTTTCTCTACACAAACACTTTTTTCCACGCACACCGCAGTAACGTAACACGAGGGATTCGTCAAAGCCATTGTTGTTTCCTAACGTAAGGGCAACTGGTGGAAAATAACTGGTACTGGTACCAAAAGAGAATAAACAAAATGAAGATAAACCGGGATCATTTGTGGGATTTGTGATTCGTGTTCCTGGAACATGATGTGAAAGTGATGAACTTTTATTCAGGGCTTTCCTTCCTGAAAACGACACACTCACGCTTTGACTTTTAAGAGAGTAACGAAAACACAAATACAGTTATATTTCATACCTGAAAAAATACTCTATAATGAAGGTACATATACACACACATAGATATACTGTATATATATTTTTGTTGTTGTTGTTGTTGTAATGAAATGCACTAAACTTGCATTGAACTTCAGTACGGTCTTTGGAGAACAGTCCTGTCAGTTTTCTGGAGAATGTTGTGCAGTCCTATGGTACAGTGACCATGTGAAAGAAAGCAGTGGATTCTCTGGTCATTAATGTAAAACACATGTCAGACCCTCCCAGTAAATACTGCAGCCTCAGTGTCTGGATTCACTGTTTTAACAAAGACACTTCACCAGAAACAACAACCACAGCTTCTAATGTCTGAAGTGGAAGAATGACAATTAAAAGAACACAGTGTTGAGGAAATGACCAGTTTATTAGACACACGTTCTCTCAGCGTCTCATGTCAGAAATCATCATCTCTAAACAAAACTTCCTTCCAAATCCTGGACTTATTTACTGCCCCTGGCTGTAAATAAGTTTGCACTTCAAATATTTCCTTTTTAAAAAAAACTTTTGCAAACACAGAAACCTTGTCTTGATCATAAACCAACGGCCAATAAAAATAACTGTCTGATATATATATATTTTTTTACAATTTTAGTAAAGGTTCAGTCGTCTTCTTCAATTCTATTTAAACTACCGATATGTACCTTAAGTAAGCTAGGTTTATGTAGCTAATAACTGGGTTTTTTTGGCTAATTTTAAGGTTTAAACTCAAGATTTTTTTGTGGCTAATTTTAAGGTTTAAACTCAAGATTTAGCTTTAGGGTTAAATGCTGCTTCATTTTCACATGATTTTATCCATTTTAGTAAGTGTTTTCAGTTTAATGCTACTCCGTATATTCTGCCCACAATATTCTGGCTACCTTGGTGTAAATTTTGTCCTTTTTTTAATCAAAGAAATTTCATCTATAGTCTCTTTTTTTTCACGTAGCTCTTAACGACATGTTTCCTGGTCATTCATCTATTTGTGATTGTCTTTAAGCTCTTTGTTTTGGTTTAAATTCTAAATCCAAGAGAGAAAAATCTCTGGACTGGCTGATCCAGAGCAGAGTATTTACAGTCCACTGTACATGTATATATGTCCATGTCGTACAGTGGGCGTACGACCACCCTGATGAATTTAGACACGTGTTTACTTCATGTTGTGTTCCATCACCACGGTAACGCTGTACATGCCTACGACCTTATTTAATTGTGTAATCTTGTAGCCGGCGCTGTTTAAAAAGTCAAATCAGTAAAAGAAACATTTGGTGACTCATGTTTCAGATCAGGAACAATCAAACTGAGGCTCGCTTCAGTGACATGGGGGGGGAGGGAGGGGGCGATGGCGTGTTTAAGTTGGCAGGAACCACCTGTTAATTATGGTCTGCCCTTCTTCACCGCAGGCTTACTCGCGGGGCAGATTTGAGAACTGCCTCCGAGGTCAGTGAAGGGCGGGGGGAGGGGGGTGGTTTTGGAGGAGCTTAATTATTGTTTTCCTACCTTTTATAATTGCTCAGCATCTCTAATCCCAGGCTCCTGTAAACACGCACGGGTTTCAGAGAAACAGAGAGAGAAAAAAACAACCACAAACTCTGAGTCAACGTCACGTTCTCGCTGAAGAAACTGTGCAGAACTAGAACACCAGCTCTGTCCAGGAGGAACTGCTGCTGCTGCCAGATGTGCTGACAGCAGCCCCCCCCCAGGTGGGACATATATCAACATATGCTGTATATGTGTAATTATTATTTTTCTTTTCCAGCCTGAGGACACGTGTGCCTGTTTTCCTCCTGCAGTAAGTCGTTAATGGTCCGTGGCGTCCACACCAACACTCCAGCCCTGGGCGGGTGTAAAGTGGGTCGAGTCGCTGCGACGTTTGGGTTTGTTAGCCTAATGTGTCCCACGGGACTCGAACACCTGACTCAGCAGAGTGATGTCACGCCAACACTTGGAGGGTGGGACTGAGGGGGTAATTAACAGAAACGTTAGACGGTTTCATCATTGCCCCGGGCTGTTTTTTTACAACAGTTCAACTGTTCGTGTCATGTCACAGCACAACATGGTGGTCCAAAAAAAAAAATATTATTAAATTAATAATCAGTGATTTTTATTTTGACACGCTAGAAGAACAGAGTCTCCTCTGTGTTCCTGAACTGTGCTGTGATTGGTCAATACATCTCCCAGGTGGATTTTTTTATTATTATTATTTTATTCTTTCTTCTGTCTCCCTGTGTCTTGTGTCGTTATATTTTATTACGTTAGAGATCATTTTCTCATTATTACTTTTATTATTTTGACATTACCAGTGGTTTTTTTCCCCTTTCTTTCTGAGTGCATTTAAAGGTGAGTGTTTTAACTGGCCTCAGGTCAGATATCGCAATTACAACCTGCAGTGACATCATCCAGCTGCCAATGGCCTAACACCAATACTTTTATGTTTCCCAGGTGACTGACTCCCTGCTGTCGTCTCTGCTGGTCTCACACTGGTGAGTCTTAGCTTTTAACAATCAGTCGCTGCGCAAATGTTTTTGAAAATGACAGACCTGGCAACCAACGCTTTTCATTCTGTAAACCTTCTGCCCAATTTGACCAAACGCTCATTTCTTGAGGTGAAGTTTATTTTACAAATTCACATAAAAAAAAATAAACTACCAGTCTACTAGTAACTGTTGCATTATTATATTCTCTACTTTTGCAAGAATTAAAAAAAAAAATTCATCTAAGCTCTCTGTCATTTTCATGTTGTGTAATTTCACTCATGATGACATTAAGTGACTGCCCAGAGTGGGTGGTGCTGGCAGAGTGAGACGTTACCTAACGCTCACTTAAACTGCACACACACACACACACACACACAAAATTGTAAATGTCCGCTCACTGTTGACTCCAGGCCCAGAGGAGCTCATTACGTCCACAGCTGTGAAAACACACACTCTGTGACTGAAGTGTGTGTGTGTGTGGACAGAGATCGCACCTGATGTAGAGTAATGTGTGTGTGTGTGTGTGTAGTGACTCAGTTTGGTAATGATGGATTATTCTCCTTGTCATCCGTGAGCCAGATTTATTTGTGTTACACTGTCTGACATGTCAATAATCTCAAGAGATTAAGAACCTCTGACCAGGTCACTTCTGGAGGAGTAGGGGGCTGAGACCCCTCCCTCTGTCAATCAAATAGACAGAGAAAGTGAAAATCAGTGACTTGTGGTGATTGGTTGAAAACGCTCCAAGACTCATGTTGGAGGACTATCTTTCTATCTTAAAGAAAAGCACTTGCATTGTTAAATTGGAAACACACACACACACACACACACACACACACACACACTGTCAACACTGTTCAGAGAATATTATCCCAAGCTACAAACAGTTCTGCCTTGAAGGAAAGGCCTGTGTCGACCTTTTGAACCTCCTGAGTCATTCCGGCTGAAAGCAGTGTTTCTGTTGGCAGTGGCTGCAGTCGAGGGGGGGGGGGAACTTCACGAACTGAAGTTTGATAAACAATAGGAATCACAAACCATTTAGGGACAAAATGTTTAACTGTGTTTTGATCAAAGAACTGACCTTCATTTTTATCAGTGGAAAAATGGAGTTTGTAATTCTTTCTGTTTGTCCACCATTTTTTCTCACTCTTTGATGGTAGTTTATTCTACAGTTTAAATGCAACTGCCGTCGGACTCCAGTGTGAAACGTCTGCCAAAGACCCCTCCCTAGTTTATGTCAGTGTCATGTTATGTGCAGACCTCCGGGGGCAGAAGACCGAGACCCTTCAGACTCAAGTCGCTGGTTAGAAGCACCAGATATCTGGATTTACAAACAACACAATCGCCCAGAAATCAGATCCTGGCCAAATTTTTGCCTGCAGCGTAAACGTAACCAAAGTCAGGAAAGAGCAGGAACTCCAAAAAAGATTCAGAGTCTTTCTTTGCCAACACACAAACTCTTGTCGGGTCTGTCCGGCATGAACTGTTAGATCTGAGACACCAACAGAATCGTTTCTCTGGGAAGAAGCAGAGAGTTTAACAGACGGAGGAGGTTCCTGACAAAACAGAACCATCAAACAAACACACAGAAAACATTCTCTTGTATTTTTCTTTAAATGTTGCTCTTCTGTTTATCTTATTTCTTCAGGCCGACCCACACTCCTCTCTTGGACCTCTTGTCTTCCACTGGGCGATTAAGGACCTACAGAGAAGTTCTTCCTCTCTGGATGTTTTCTTACAGTAAGCACTTGAATATTTCTAACAACACAGTGGATTAAAACACTTCACACATCCTGGTTTTCCACGGCAGCCGAGTGTAGAAAATGAAGCCTGAATTACCGCAGCCACATGTGTCTGCAGTCATCAGCTGGGGAACATTTGGGTTTTTTTTTCCTGCCAATTCTTGACCAAACCTTGAACAAAAATAATCTCATACAGCACTGGCACATGTCGACTTTTTAATTTGGAATATTCCGTTTAAATAAGTCCATTCAAGCATGAGGAGAAATAATGAGTGAAGCCTTTAATTCACTCAACATGTCTGTGGTTCATCCTAAAAATAAATAATAAATAAAAAGACAGAAGATCTTCTGATGTTGTCATTTCTAATTCGGTCTGTTTCTGTCACTTCATCTACACACACAGAACCAGTGAATAAATATCAGTTCAAACTGCTGGCTCTGCATGTTGTTATTGTAATTTAACAGCGTCATGTTGATGGTGGTCTTGTTGTGGGTTGGTGGGTTTGTTTTTTGGGGGGGGGGTTTCTCTCTCTGCATTTTTACCCTTTGGTTAAAACGGCCAAAACTATTTGAGTCATTCAGACCCACGTGGACCACATCTGTGGTGTGTGAGAGTGGATTTATAGGCATTTAAAATGTTATTTTCACACCATCATGTTTGTCCAGTCACTTAATCCAGATCTCCCCAACCAAAGTATATATATATATAATATATATTTATATATATATATATGAAACTTCAATATATTGGTCCTTTCTTTCTGCTTCTAGATCCTTCCAGACCAATAAACGACCAGAACCCACAGTAATTCCCAGTTGCCGTGGAGACGAACTGCAGACTCAGTACACCAAGGATGTCTTCAGGGTGGACAGAAGCTGAGGAAATGTAAGTGAAGTCACCTCTGACCTTTGACCTGTGACCTGTGATGGACAGGAACTAAGAGCCAACCTTAGACCTGACAGGTCCAGATGGTGGCAGAACATGGACGGTCCATCCTCGTCCCTCAGGAGACGAGGATGGACTGATGCAAACGGACTTCACTTCCTGTCCTCACGCTGCGTTTGTTTCGTCTGTATTGGTGCAGGAATCTTTAAAGGTCATGAGGTCAACAGGCGGAGTTTAGACGTTAGCGTCGGCGTCAAGTCGCTGGACCTGATTCTTTACCTTCACCTTTATTCACCGTTTTTACAACAACATGTTATAACTGCTTGACCTTTGACCTTACCCTGCTGAGTCACATGATGTAGAGCAGTGACACTTCACCCATATATGGTCAAATATGTCTTTAGTAAAGACTGAACTGTTGGCCCAGAGCAGGACCCACACACCCAGAGCCCAGCTCCACCCTGGCCCCGGGGCGTACGGTGTGGGAGGAGCAGCAGAATAAAATATTCTCTTTATTCACCCCCCACCCAAACCCCCCTTGTGTTTATAAAACCAGAGTCCAGCTGCAGCCCCAGTGGAAACTGCTGTTTTCAGACTCACACTGCCGTCTGTTCTTGCTGTGTTTCATGTGAAGTCAACGTCCGCGGCGCTCTGACTGACTCCTCCCCCTTCACTGACCTCTGCTCTGGTTCATGCCGACGACCGTGTCCCTGCTTATGTTAACGCTGCTGCTGGATTTGTTTGTGTGAGGAGGTGAGGACCAGGGTCCTGGTGTGGTGAGACTGTAGTACTGAGGGCAGTTCTTCCCTGACTTTGTACAGAACGGATCTCTGGTTGGAACAAATCAGTCGCCTAATGGACTTTACACTGGTGTAAAGTGAAGCCGGGGGAGATGCACGGGGCTGCCCTGCAGAGGGCAGTGTACAGTTTGGGTTCCTTTTACATCAGTGATCTGAACTTTCCAATCCGGCCCACGACTGGATTCCCAAATTGTGAGGATCAACTGTTAAAGGAACTTAAAAAAACAACAACTGAGAATTAAATATCTACCAGTAGCAGCCAATTTTTTTTCCTTTTATTTGAGTTTCTCTCCAGAAGAATTCTGTCCCCCACAAATAAAGTCGGCGACCCCTCTCTAATTAACACCTAATTAGTTACCAGGTACATTCATGTATTTCGCTTTTCAGCCATACACTAAAGTGCATGGATAAAACTTTTTATTTAGTTTTTTCTCTCATTAGTCTGACTCTCTGACAGTCAGCGCCCTCTGGTGGTCCTGTCTGCTGAAAGGTCCTTAATTATTATCCAGATTTGATGTTCGCAGCATCAGAACATGTACTGCACGTCGATACTTCCTCAGAACGTCAGTCGTTTCTGTAAACTCCCTGAAGACGAGGCGTTTTTAAATGCAGAGCTGTAAATGCCACAGCAGCTGCATAACTGTGGGTTTGTAAGAGGTGGGGGGAGGGGGGTCGCTGGGGCAATCAGGGGTAATTATGGGATGTTGGTAATGTCACAAACATGCACACTCGCAGAGCCACCCACCTGCAAAAGTCATTGGTCTACGAGTCGGTGCAAACAGAGGAGCAGAGACAGAGGAGTGTCCTTAAACCCAGTGGTTTGGAGCTGGTCTTGTCCTCATCCCTTCAGTGTCTCTGTCCACCGTGATGGACAAGAAATGTTAACACCAGGCAAAAACTTGATGGTTTTTCTGCAGGAAATTCTTTCTTTAAAGCATTACTGGTCATATTCTTCTACATATTTGAACTCTCTCCCCAAACATTCCTCTTACAGACTCCCAGACCTGGATCTCATTAGTGCTTGGAAACCGTTCCCATCTTTGTATCTGTAATTGGTTGAGATGGATCGTTCACCCTGAGGAAGTCACGGGCGATGCTCAGAAGCTCCTCAAAGGCTGGAGGACATGTTGGGCCTCAGTTTAATACTGTGAAAAGACCGGGATTGTTGTCCAGACAGAGACCGTCCTCTCGTCTGTCCTCACTCTTCTGCAGCGGTCCAGTTTTCGGTGTTTCTGTATCTTGTAAGATAAGCTCTTGTGTAATCCTTCACAGAATATCATTTTACATTATCTCATTAGATTTGACTGTGTTTTCCTGTTTGCGTGATCCAAATAACAAGAGCTGGCAGGCGCACCCTGAACAGCAGGACGGCACATGGCGGGGAAAAAAAAACAAAAAAACAGAAAGGCAGAATCTGAGGGTGAAGTTGAGATAAAGTCGGGAACAGAGAAACCACAGAGGAGGATCTGTTTGGTTTGGACAAACACCGGGACGCCGCCGCAGTCACAGGAGAACCAAGCACATATGTAGTGCTGATCGCTCCATGCTGGTTCTGCCGTACACCTCCATCAGGTTTTACTGACCTTATATACTGTAGACATAGAAACTAGTGGATGATGTCGCAGTATTTTTATGGACTCAAACACAGTTTTTTTTTAACTGTCAGTGTCATTAAATAACAACAAACACTGCATTTGCAGCGGTCCTGAAGTGTGTGTGTCTGTGTGTGTAAGAGCAAGACAGAGGGAGAGAGAGAGACACTCTGTCCTGGTGTGAGGTTTCTGGTCAACACATGGGTCAGGCTGAAAGGACGAAGGGTCCGAGTGTGAAGACAGGACACGCAGAACGACCAGTGATGTTTATGGTCTGTCTGTGTGTGTGTGTGTGTGTGTGTCATCTTGTTGATAAACACAGATCCGGTTGATTACCTGTTTACCTAGTTAGTTAGTTAGTTAGTACTGTGTGTGTGTGTGTGTCTGTGTGTGTGTGTGGTCCAGTTTTAGTGTTTAGCAGATGTTCCGGTGACCACCAGCGCTGTTGTGTTTTTATAGTGTGTGTGTGTGTGTGTGTTTGTAGCTATGACAGAGACCACTGCAAGACTGAAGAAGCTGCCAGTAAAACCACACACACACACACACACACACACACACTGTTCCTGTTAATTTCTAATATCCTCAGACTCACCCGTTCCTGCTTCTGTTCTGCAACGTTCTGAGAATTCAAATCCAAACTTTATAAAACACACGTGTCTGAAGGCGGACGATGAATGATGTGTTGTTCACGGTGACGTCAAACAGTCGGTGACCGTCGGTCAAGTCCAGGACACACAGTTTTATTCTTACGCCACGAAAGTTCCGTCTTTCATCTGTTAAGGCCGCGCCCAGCGCCACAGAATAAAACCCTTCTTCTTCTTCTTCTTCTCTTCTTCTTCAGGTGGAAATCTGTTGCTATTTCTGTCTTTTTTCCTGGATTGGACGTCCAGCGCGGAGCCTCCACGGTGGCGGACCAGACTGTGACCTCTGGCTGTCACACACCGGAGGAAGGCGTGGCCCAGTGGAGCAGAGTGTTACTTCAACCAACCGAAAGGTCAGCTGTTTGATCACAGTTTCCACTAGTGCACAAACAGATATGACTTCAGAGTACGTCAGAAATATAAAGTTTAATTCACTAAAAACATAAAAATGAACATCACGATAAAATCAAGTTTTTCAGAAGTTCCACGAAAGAGTTGAAAAACAGGCACAAATGTAGCCTGACGCAACAAAAAGTAAAAAGACGCAAAAATAGGGGCAGAAATATGGAGTAAAACTGGTCAAATGTTCTGTCAAATTGACCGACGACGAATTCACTTTCATAAAAACAGTTTTTTTTGACATGTAGGAGTCTAATCTGTCAGAATAATATCATGCTTTCAGCGGGAAATTTGTGGAAATGAGTGAGGGGAAAGCGACCCACTCTGGGGGCCGGTAAATGTGACACATGTTGAACATGTGCTGCAGAGGTGAATTATGGGAAATGTTTGGCAGCGCAGTTGATCGGTTCTATCTATAAATCTAACCTTAAACGTCTGAGACGTCTGGAGCTGGACCCTCTCCCTGCAGCAGGACACATTTGTTCTTTACTCTGACTTTAACCAAGATTGTTGGCGTAGGCTACACAGAGGGACACATGGGGTGCCATCTGCTGGATCGGGGCAAAACTACATGATGTAATAAATTTTAAAAAGTGAGAAAAATGAAGAAAAAAAGAAAAACAATATTTGTTGTTTAAAATAAAGAAAAAAAGTGAGAAAAATGAAGAAAAAAAAACAAACAATATTTGTTGTTTATTTACTGGGGCTGACCTTGAGTTGACCCAGATGTTAAATGATGACGAGGAGCTGAAGAAGAGGAGGGATGAAGCTAGGAAGAATGAAGGAAGACGATGGAAGAATACAGAATCTGGAAGATGGAAAGTGATGCCTGAGGATGACTGGTAGATGTTGGAAAACAGGAAGGAAGAAGAAATAAAAGGAACGAGAAGAAGAAAAAGAAGCTGGAATAAGAGGCGGAGAGAACCTGAAGCTGCAACAAAACAAAATCCACAACAAAGAGGTTCAAAAAGCTACAAGAACAAGGAACTAGAAGCTGCTAATGAAAAAAAAAAGAAAAAGTAAGGAGGAGGAGGAGGAGAGAGAGTTGGAACAGGAAGTAGCTGAAGCTTGGAGACGTCAGAGGAAGAAAAGTGAGGAACAGATTATTAAATTAATTTCATATTCAAGTGCTCTGCGTGTGTTAAATCACTGCGAACAGCAGAAAGCCACGCTCTGAGCTCGACTCTCGCTGCCTGAATTACGACAGACGCGCCGTGTGTAGTCAGTGGCTCAGTAAAGGCACCGCAGGAGGTCAGCGCTGCCTAAACAAAACCGACATTTGAATAATGGTCTGCGTAACCTTCAGGCCTCAAATCATCCACCGCCTGTGAGCTGTGGGGGCAGGCGGGGGCGCTGTAACACAAAACACCTGCGGCCGTGGTTTCTGACGCCACTCGGAGGGAGTCACGTGGTCCGTACAGAAAACATAGACCGGATCCAGAATTTTGATAAGAACCAGAGAACCTTTCACCCGTCGTTGTTTTGAACATGAACACGGAATGTTCTGGAGTACACACCGTACTGCAGTATTGATTTGAAATACAGTATTACATGATAATGTTCAGTCATTAAAGACTGAACATTTACGTGATAGCCTGAAGCACACAGGCAAAACGCATTAGCATAACTCATGCTAACAAGTTTCTTATTCCACATCTTTGAATCCATTCATCATCATCACTGCCAGTGGTAATTTTTTTTTTTAAATAGTCACAGTCTCCTCCTGCTACACTGTTTCTTGATGATCTTTGGCACAAATTATTTGCAGTAAATATATAATAGTTTTCAGGCCGACGAAGTAACATTTTCCACGGCGTAGTGTGTGGGGTTCAGTGTTTTATGGAAGTCTGGGAAGGTTTTGGATTGGAATTATTTCTGTGGTGCAGCAGAAGTGTTCAGGTGTAGAAAGTGCCCTCTTGTGGTCACAGATGATATGAGGCCAAACAGTTAAGAAAACACAACCTATAGCCTAGAATGTAGATTGGAATGGTTGGTAAGTTTGTCTTACAGCAGGAAGGTCAGACGTTTGATTCCTGGTGGTCAGTGTTTTTTTTGTTTTTGTTTTTTCTTGTTTATGGGTTTGCATGTTTTTTTGGGGTTTTTTGTGTAGGTTTTCCACAGTCCTTAAACATACAGGAGTGAGTTGAATGTTCACTCTAAATTCACGATAGGTGTGAATTCAGGTGTGAATGGTTGTTGGTTTGGTCTGTGTGTGGACCAGAGCTCCAGGTTCTCACAGTTCTGGAAATAATCAGTGGAATATAAATACATATTTGAGAAGAATTGACTGTGAACTTGATTACATTCAACGTCACAGCGTGTACTCCAACCGTACAGCTGCTCTTTTGCTGTTTATTGTGGTAAAAATCTGTAAAACTTCTGCTTGGTCATGATTTATTTTCATTCTTTTGATTCAACAGCAGATTCCTCTCCAACGAGCTACAAAGCAAAACTCCGACTCAACCTTTTTTTTTCTTCTTTTTTTATCTGACTCTGTAATAATTGTCTGACTGACATTTTCATTTTATGACCAATTTTATGACCACAACAGAACAAAGTGTTTCTCCACCGACGGCTGATTTATTTATTTAACATTTTTTCGAAACAGCTGCCAAACATTTTACTGCCATTAATATAAAAATTAGCTCACTGCTGTGTGTTCAACTGTGGAAAACATATTTTATTTTTGAAACATGTTTCCCCCAATGTTGGAAGAATTTGTACACCACCTAGTGGTAGAAAAGTAGAATGAGCTGCAGAATATGTCCTTTTTAGTTGCAACATGATTGATGCATTTAAATGCAGACTTTTTTTTCAGATCTGTGTGTTCAGATCTGTGCTGGACTGAGACCAGTGTGGACGTGTTTCTTCCAGTAAGCGTTGACTGTACAACACAGTGTGGGCTGAGTCACACAGCAGATGGATACTGGGCTTAACTACAAACACTGCTGTCGGACTCTGAGCCAAATGAATCCCACATAGAGTTGCTGTTTAAATCGAGACCGAGCCATTAGTGATTTCAAGTTTTTGCTTCAGAAAAAGACTCTTTAATCTTTCTGTTTGTTCCGTAGAAGATGTTCAGCCTGAAACAAGACAAAACACAAACAGTTGCCGTTTTTTCATGCAGTCCAGTGGATGTAGTTTCTGTTCAGTATCATCTGACAAGGTAGAGAACGTCAAGTACCAGGAAGTCGACGGGGTCCTCAGGTTTGACAGCACAGCAGTCCACCATGGCCTCGCTGAGCGACGGCATCACGTACTCCACCAGGTAGTTCCTCAGAGGAAGAGATCGAGCCTCCAGCAGCTCCTCCTCCTGCTTCTCCAGCTCAGCCAAGTTCTTCTGCTAAAAAAACATATTTTTTCGTTGCATTTTGGACTCTATCATAATTACTGACCCACTAGGACATTTGAAGCCCTCTCACCCACTCCTGGTACTGAGCGGCCATCTCCGCCAGCGCCGCCTCGTTCCTGCGTCTCCTCTCTGCAGCCTCCTCAGCCTGTTTCTCCTTCTGTTCCTCCTCCTTCCTTCTCTCTTCCTCCTCCTGCTCCTCTGGACTCAGGCCGTAGCTTGTAGGACGTCCCAGCATCTCTGTGATTTTCTCCACCACGTCTGTGTACTCCGGGTCGTCCGTGGTCACCTCTGGATGAGAGTGAAGACAGAATGAGCTGCTGACAGAGAACACAACCACAGAATACAAACATCTCCTAAAATGTTGGAAATGTTTCTGGATCTGGAAAACCTCAGAGGTTCTGCACATGCTCAGTCATTTGTGGAGCTCATCTCCTGACATGTATGATGTGGGATTTTCTGGACAGTACCAATTTGTACTGGGTGAATCTCCAACTCGTCGAAGAAGTCCAGCAGAGTGTCCTCGGCTCCGCTGAGCTGTCTGTACTTCATCAGGCGAGGAGGAAACTCCTCGTGTGTGTAGCCCATTTTCTCCGCCACGCTCTCTGGAAGATCTTGGACTCTTCTGGTCAGGAAATCATCCGATGCTTCCAAGGAAAAAATATGCTCTGCACAAAATAAAATAAAATAAAATTTGTTCAAAAAATTGTGTCATATTCTGTTATCACGGGGTTTTGTTGACGTTTATGTCACCTGGAGTTATTGTCTTGTCAAACACGGGGCGTTTAATCACTGCTTCCTGTTTCCCACCTTCTTCATCTGAGCCTTAAATGCATGTCATGAAAGAGGATCAGAGCAAATAAATCAGAGCAAACAGCACTGAAGAATCCAAAAGTGATTTAATTTTATTATATAGAACTTACTTATAAAAAGCTGTTGTGCTTGTTGATACGTTTTTAAAAAGCCATCGAGAACAAATCCTCGATTCCTGCACAGGTTTGAATTTAACTTTTCTTTCAGTATGTCAAAAACTAGAGAGTCACTCAGACGACCTAAGAGTCGGGACAACAGATTTTATGAGTTTATACTTTAAAAAAAACATAAAATTGTATTTATATTCCATGAGTTAATAGAGTTATCTGACCTGCATTCACTTCCATGCTTTGGTTAATCCTGTCCAACTGCGCATGTGCAGAAACTGCATCATCATCATCATTGTCACTGATATTTTCACCGTCACGGTCTCTGTTTATTGATTCTTTCTGCAAGATATCCAACGTGATTAATGAGCACTACTGCCACAAGAGGGCGGTATATTTCAATGTCCTACAGGAAACAAACGGCTCCAACTCACCAGTTTTCTGATCTTTTCTTCGATGAGCTCCTTGACCCGTATGTGCTGTAGCTGGTAGTGACGGCAGAGCTTCTGAGAAACTGTGCTTTTACCCACGGCTGGAGGTCCGAGCAGGCAGATCTTTAATGGCTGATGGTAAATAATATTACAATTAATTTTTTGAGAAAGTTGTTGGCCACATAAAAGCTATCCAAGTGTTTGGGTCGGACATTTCTGTCTGTATAAACAATCACTCACATGTATCTGCCTGGTGTCTCTAAATTCCTTCACGATGTTCTCCATGTTCTCCACCATCCCAGCTTCAGACGTCCAGCTGAGGCCGAAGGAGTCCTTAATGGTGACAGCCTCCAGACGGAGGTTGACCTTCAGGTACTGGAGCTCCTCAGGCTGCGGTGACCAAAAACAAAATCATGTTTTAATAGAAGAACATGGAGTGAACAGTAATGTGCTTCAAAACGTGGTCTGATTTACCGTAAAATCTGTAGTTTTCATGACCTCTTGCTCGGATACTTTGGTGGTTTTCCCAGTACCGAGTGCCTCACTTATCACCTGAGAGTTAGAAGCCAAGTACATGGATTATATTTCATTTGTCGACATTAAATCAGAGGAAGAGAGTTGAGCACAAAGTTACCTTCACAATCTCCTCTAATGTGTTTTTGGACTCGTCCACGGCCAGGATGTACTTTGACTTTGGCTTTAATTGAATGATGTTCTGAATAATTCTGGGAGGAATTGTTTTTTTTTTAATACACTGTGTTAATCATGAACGTTTACATACTTGGGTATAAATTCATTCTCCAACTAAAAAACACTTTACCCTCCAAGGTCAAACACATGAATCATGGGAATGTGGTTTGTCCCGTCTCCAAAAATGGGAACTTTTGAACTCCTCATCAACCAGGAGACCTGATAGAAAATGTCAACGTTGAATTTCATACAGTTTTGTTACAGTTAGAGAGAAAAGGACATTGTTGTAATATCTACCTTGAAAAAGTAGTGAAAAAGATTTTCACCCTTTCCATACTGAAGACCACTGGCTACGACGTAGCCAATCAGTTTGGACTTGCTCTGTGAAAATGTAAGAAAAGAATCTGTCAGGAGGAGCCTGATAGTTTTGATGAGATTCCTCTTAGATATTTGAAGTGATTCTGTGGTTTGGAGACCACTCCCTACCCCTCGGCCCATTTTGAGCACAAGTTTCTCCAGGATGTTGTGGTTTCTAAAACTAGGGTGAGGCCTTCGTCTTCTGAAGTCTTCCTCCGTCAGGACAGCGTCCTAGGAAAAAGAACGGCTACTGTCATGTTGGTATTTTGATTTTGTATATGGGAGAAAAAGAACAGTATTAATTTCCTCCAGCCTTACCAGGTTCTGTGGTTTGATCATGGCCCAGGTCATCACCGTGGAGACTAAGATGAATATTTTTCGAGTCTTAAAGTTTTCTGATTCTGCTTGAAGGGCTGCAAAAAAAAAGAAAGAAAGGAAAACACAGAGTGAAAAATTGGCAACAAAAATATATTGGATAAAAACCAAGAAAAGTCTCATTCTGTCACCTGTTACTGCCCAAGTTGCTTCTTCTACCTGCTGTTGTGTTGCATTCTCAGCGATGTTGTACACCACAACATCACACACCAGGAGGCGCTGGAGGAGCTCATCCTTTGTAGGAGACTAACAAAGTGTAAAATAGTGTAGAATTAAAGATGTAACAGAGAGCTATTTGTTATCAGGAAATGTGACACGTGTGCAATGAGAACTCACTGTGTATTGTTCCTGCAGAAATCGTATCTTTTTATCGGGAGAGGAAACAGTTCCAACGAGCTGGAACGCAGCCTCACTTTGAGCAGCCGTGGCCTCATCACTTTCAGACATTTCCTCATGTCGGCAGGTGAATAAAAACTGTTGAAGTAGAATATTAATCAAAGACAATGCATATCATTTCAAAATATATAGCTAGTTTGGATATGCATAACTTAAAATAAACTAAAATCAAAGAAATAAGTATTCATATAAATGATTTACGAGTAAATTTAACATTAAATTGCAATCTACTTAAAATACCTTCGCGATATTGTGGGAAGAATATCTGTCGACGTCGTTGATAAATACGCGTTTTAGAAGAATCTGATGCTTTTTGGACCTCATCGTTTCCCGTTAATGTTCGGTTTGAGGTTCCTGTTATGCTTCGTAGAATAATTATCCTCAGCTTTATCTCATATTTAAGTTGCTGTCAAAAGAAACTGTGCCTTTCCTTGTGTTTATTTTGGTTGCTATAGGCACCGCGTTGGCGACCTCTACCCGCCGTCATGGAAACAACATGCAGGCGCCATCTTAGTCCGGGCGATGAAGCGTCACTCATCTTTTTGTGAGTAAAACAATTGCTGTTCTACACATAAATATAAACATTACAAATTCTAATAGTATTGAATTTATATTCCCCAATTTATCACGTTAGTATTCCAAGTATGTCACTGCTCTTATCAACTATATTTTGGGATTGTTTATAGTTTTCATGGTACGGACCATATGTAAGTGACGGACCTAATTTCCGGTTTCAAAATGTAAGCCTCGTAAAAAGGACGGAAGCAGCGTTTAGCTAACCGGAAGTTCGATGTAGTTAAATTCTATCAACTGCAAAGAGTTTATTTTGATTAAGACTTTTTTTGATTAGGACTTTTTACTCCCATTTAACTTCAACCTTTATGGTTATTTTGGGACTTTTTACTCCATTTAACTTCAACCTTTATTTAAATGGTAAATGGTACCAGTATTTTAACACTGGTACTATACCCCCTCCAGCACCCCCTTCCCCCTTCTGGGCCTGCCAAACCTGTCATTGTACAGGACAATAGAGTGCTGACATGGAAATTTCCAGACCACAATATATTTATAGACCTGACACTATCTAGAAAAGTGTTCTCAGTACTTGATGGAGCATGGTGAGGGGTGCGGGGGGAGGTCTGTGACATATACAGTAGAAACACAATTAGTTGTTTCTCACCATCTAAGGTCAAATATGACTCTATTTAGATAATCTTGTCTAAAAATCCAAACTTTCTACCTCATTAATTCACCTACTAAATATTAAACAAATTAACTTTCAGAAGTTTCTACAAGGGTTTAAGACAATGTTGATGATAACCTGTTTTGGTTCCATAAATCATTAATCACAATTAAATGTTATGGATATTATTGACAGATGGCCACATTACGATTTGCTGTTGTATTTTCTACATATGATGTAACATCCTGTCACCGCTCGTTTTCAGTGACAAAATAGCACCTGATGTAACTGTTGTGATGAACACACAGGCCGTCAAACTGTGCCGAGCCATCAGCTGTTTACAGTCGGCATGTGTCGCCTCACGGCAGCAGCTGCAGTCGCAGCCGCAGCCAAAGGCAGCAGTGTGGTCCTGAGAGCAGGATATTGTTCCCTGTCCAAAAGGATGTTCTCTGTAATTCACTCTCTTGTTTGTAAACTAAATCAACAGCTGTTTTATTTTATTGACTGGTTAAAAATCTGGTGTAAATCACACTGATCATATTAAATCACTGATTGTGTAATTAGTTCAGGTCACTGCGCTCCTTAAATGTGATGTTTTTTTCTTCTTGTTTATCTTCTATTTCCTTGAAGACACTTTTTCCTACTACTGTGGCTTAAGTCATAGTTACAGCTGTTAAAAACGTGTGTCAAAGTGTGTGTATTTGTCAACGAGTCAGATCAAAGCACTTTTTTTTTTACTTCAAGTTTTATCTTTTTTTTTTTTTTAATTTTTTTACTTCAAGTTTTATCTTTATTTTATTTTATTTTTTATCTTATAGTTATGCTTATTTTAGATGCAAATCCACACACCTCGGTCACATTAAAATATTTTGTTAAAAAAAACTAAACAAAATGTATTAAACATAAAATTATTTGTAATTTTTTTTATAATCTATTTTACTCCCCAGATTTCATGACCTACTTTAGTGATTCTGACTGACCTCCAAATTTGACCTGAGCATATTCAGTCTCCTGTCACTGTGAGTACCTGCTGTGTTTTTGTCGTGAACACAACTCTGTTCAAGTTGAGGCGGCTGTAAAGAAGCAGTTGTTGCTAACAGCTGCTGAAGTAAGTGTGTGTGTGTGTTGGGAGGACAGGGTGGGGACAGAGGGCAGCTGTCAGGGCAGACAAACCCTGGGCTTCCTACAGTACGTGTCCTTATAAGGACGACTGTCCCTCCAAACCTGCAGCCCCTTCACAGTAATCTTTTTTATCCTGATGAAAAAGCTGGTGTCAAAGATAGAACGGTGACTAGAACCGATTGTTAGTGTTGAAGGCAGCTGTTGATGGAACACAGCGGCAGTTGAAGTCACAAAAGTTAAATAAATATTTCATGTTTTGAACTCTGGACATAACAACTAATAAAGATATTATAATATCTGTATTAGTTGTTGTGTATTTTTGGTGAGATTTAACATTTTTCTTGGTGAGATTTTGGTGGTATTTTTGGTGAGATTTAACATTTTTCTTGCAATTGTTTAATCGTTGTTCTGGATTATTTTTGTCGTACTAACCTTTAGCTATTTATTTTCCATTTACCCTGAGCTTCTTAAGCTCTAATTTTATTAATTTTTAGATACCCATAGTATAACTCACAGATGTTGTTTGGCATTTTTTTCATCATTATTTAATATAATTTAACAAGTTTGACAGAATCTAAATTTGTTTTTGAAAAGATGCCAACTTGTTGCTTCTTCAGGTGGCTAATTGTTAACCATTTCTTATTATTATTTGGTTCTACTTTTTTGTTTCTTTTTCATCAACATAAGGCTAACGTTTTGCAAATTTTAATGAATTCTATTTATTTAACTCTATTTGTTATATATTTTGCAACTTTCATCAGTTTCAGCCTCACGTTTAGTATGACTTTTTTCTAACCGTATCCTATTTTTCATATTTTGTGGTATTTCTGGCCTTTTTTATTTACTAAAACAATAATACTGTGTGAAGGCTGATGTAAAGTAACGTCATGTCACAGGTCTTGTTGTGTGAAGCTCGTAACAGAAATAGAGCAGGAGGTTAGCATCAACTCTTTCTAAGGTACATTACAGTATACAGCATTACACATGGGTGGCTTCAAATGGACTTTTTCAAAGTGGTGATGGTGGTGTGGGTGGTGTGAGGGGGGGTTATTTACATTCTTCCTTCAGCCTCAGTGATAGGTTTCCAATTGTGGGGATGTGGAGGCCGTGTGAGCCGCGAGGTGACGAACAAGGATCCCCAGCTCCCGTCATTCCAACCTCGGAGTCAGAGCAGCGACGCTGTGCAGCCACTGGCACCTGTTACACACCACTGCCCTAAAAGGAGACACTGGAGCCAATCAGAGCCAGAGCTGGTCACACAAGCCTGTCTCTGCGATCTGTCGTCTGCTGGAGGTCTTGTGCACCGTCCCGCACCCACACCCCC